CCGGCTTCTCGCTTCTTCAGCAAGGTGCACCCCAAGTTGAAGGTTCCTCTGAACTCTCTATATCTGAATCTGGCACTGGTTGTCATCTTTGGATGCATCTTCCTTGGCTCTACCAGGTCGGTTGTGTGGTGACGGTGTCATAGTACCATGGCTAACATTGACTCAGTGCTTTCAACGCCATTGTCTCAGCTTCCGTGGTACTGCTCGATATTGCATATGGTATGCCAATTGCAGTCAACTGCCTGCGCGGACGTAACATGCTCCCCGAGCGCCCATTTGTCCTTCCTAATGTCGTTGGCTGGATTGCCAATGCGGTAAGTTCTTCTTACGGTCCCTCTCGAGGCGAGAACTCATATCTTGTTTAGATCTCCCTTGTCTACATTGCAGTCACCACTGTGCTCTTCCTGTTCCCGCCAGATCTCCCCGTATCGGGCAGCAGCATGAGTAAGTTCCAATGCACTCGCAATGCAGAATTGAGCAGCTACTGACACCGCTGCGTCTAGACTACTGCGTCGCTGCCTTTGGCATTATCATCGTTATCTCCGCTATCCAGTGGTTCGTTGATGGTCGGAAGAACTTCACTGGACCACGAACCGATATGGACGTCTTGACAGGACAACTCCCTGCTGGCCATTACCCTGTCGACAACAGTAATGCTGCGCATGTAGTACCTTACGAAAAGTAGCCTCAGGAAGGCGCTTGCTGTACAATACACACAGAGCGAGAATGTACTACTTCCATGCTATTTCAATGCTATTTGAGACAATATCGAACAATTTCAGTAGTAGCTCTGCCAAATGTAGTATAGACTGTAGGAGGGTGGCATTACGTCATGAGTCATGACAACCTCAGGCCGCCAATCCTTCCCCAACGATCAACAGCTGCATTTCCACAGCTTTGAAGATCGCCACCAAAACTACTCCCAGCACTATCTATTCGACTGCTGACATTCCGTCCATATCAATAACTTTCACAAACTTTCAATCCGATTCGGTTTCCTTGTTTGATCGAATCAGGGCGCGGGATTCCCACTATCCATCGACTCACTGAGTCAACCCATATACTGGAACTGGAGGCTCAACGTAAAGCCCCACATCTATACTAGCTCACCATCAACAGTAAACAATGCTCTCATTCTCTTTACCCTCCTTCAGTTTCCTACCATCCTGGAAACGCCAGACAGTCTTCAACATCCCACCTGTAAAGATCCATGAGATCGACACAGCCCACGAAAAGCCCGCCAGGGCTTTGAAGCACCTGCTCAAACTGAACCACGTGAACCATGCCATCCTGTACAACGAGCGGAAATTCCACAATCATGCCCCTCATGTTGGTTTTGCGCCCCAGCTCTGGAGATCATGCTGCTTACGTTAAGTAGATCCTCAGTTCGGCGTTTCTGCAAGGTGCAGACGCGGATGATCTGAACCGAGTGTATGACGCTGAGTCGAAGACGCTGGAGCCGTGGGTTGATGCTCCGGGGGAGATTAGCACGTATGACTGGCGGGATTATCTCGGCCAGCGAGAGTATGTACCTCTGGTTACTGTGTGAGATGCGTTGCAGAGTGTGGCTGATGTGGTATAGGTACCAGCGGGCATTTGTGGATTTCTTTGAGGATGAGCTTGTGCGGCATGGGTATGACTGGAAGAAGGTCGTGGCGGACTATCTGTTCTCCGGCAAGGAGCCACTGTTTAGCTCGCTTGTTGCTGATCGTGAGTGGTTGCGGATGGTTGGTTGGGGGAGCTTATGCTGACGTTATGCATTAGTCGGGCATCCGTTGATTCATCTGGGTTATGCCTTTGAGATGTCGAGTCGGGAGGTCGCTATGGAAGCGTTGGGTCTTGCGGCGACTTGCTACAACGACATACACAAGTACATTGATGATCCGTCCTATTCTCAGGCGGAGTCGTCGTACCATTCTACTTCGCTTTTTGGGATCCTAGGCAAGGTCCGGACCGACAAGCGCTTTAAAGGGCTGTTTGCAACACCAGGGGACAATAACTTGGAGACTCTCTTCCGGCACCACGAGGCAGCCCTACTGGATCATTGGAACGCTTGGAAGATTGAGGATCCAGTGCCTCAGTTCCGTGAGAGCCAGCAGCTTGCAGCCGCCTTGCTCACTGCTACACAAGCAGATCCCACCGAGAAATACGATTTCTTTCTCGTTCATATCCTTACCACCAGCCATGCGGTCCGGATCCTCCTGCCTATGATTCCTGCGCGGTTTCAAGTCCCACTCGTCAGGCAGTGGTGGCTGATGACGCTGGCTGTGTACATCGCCCAACTCAGACCGGAGATCGATCTTGACAGAATTCGAAATTACGACCTGCAAGGAAGAGACTGGAAATGGACAGCGAAGCAAGCGGTCAAGAGCAAGCATTCTACGGATGCACATTATGTAAAGGCTCTGCGTGCTATGCGGGAGGCTGCAGCAACATGGGGAGACTCGGAAGAGCTTTATCTGAAGGCAGCTGTGAAATTTGCAGAGCAGTTCGACGGTTGGGGAGGATTTGTATGATGGGTTGTTCAGTACTTGGTCTTTCTTCAGCGATTGTATTACTACGAACTCTCAAACTGGGTAATCTACTGTCTACGACGATCTAGAATGCTTATCTAGCCAGTCATGGAATCACTCATATTGCAGTTGGTAAAGCCCCTATTTCACCTTCAAGCAGTGTCTATCACGTGAGCTTTATAAATCGAAAGCCAAACCACGTGATATGAACTGAAATTTGTTTGAAATGTTTGCAATTCATTTTCACATCAACACAACCACTGTTGCTTGTCATCGTCAGAAATAATGATACAATTGCGCAATTTGCTCTATCTCAAGACCTCGTACTTACCTTGACAGATTGCACTCCTACTATGTGAGGATTACGAGCTGTCATGCCTGCTTCCCCAGAGAACTCCGAGACAGTTGTTGACACGTCCTTGTATCTCCACGCCGAACTCCTGCCAAACATCCGTCATATCACTCTCTACATCTCATTACCAGCCAATCTAAGTAGCCAGAACACCCAGCCACTGATAACCCTCTCAGAATCCCGTCAAGCCGTCTCGGTATCTCTACCGAAACCTTTCAACCATGTGACGGATACCATCAAGCTGCCCGCGCGGGTTAATGAAGCCTCGCGGCGCATTCTAGCCACCAATAGACAGGGCGCTGCGACTACCGCAGATAATGGCCTACGCACTGGGCGACGCGAATTCTCCTTCCGAATGCAGATAGATGATTCGGATGATTTGCTTCCGCGCCAGGATGCGCTCATCGATGATTTCGTGCCCTGGACCGCGGCGGATATGTCGCCGTCGACGAGACTGCGTTGTCGCGCGTGCGAGAATGTCGTTCTGGATACGCCTCGGTGCGCGGATATACAGTCTGAGGGTTCTGGTCCAGAAGGCTGGACGTGGAAGGACCTGCCGAGCGGGAACTGGGCCGAGATGATGGATTTCTGGCACTGTCATAAACCGGACCCGCCTGAAGGCCATGGCCATGGGGAAGACCCCAATGCTCAGACCAAGGGGTACGGAGCGGCGAATCAGGTGATGGCGACGGCCGGGACGGTCCTCGTGGATGTGGCGACGTTTCTGGTCTCGGAGGTGGATTGCAGGGGATTAAAGAAGGTAAGGCTTGTCTTGGTGTTTTTGTTTTTGTTTTCTCTTTTACGTTCTCGGGCAAAAAGAAGGAGGCCTTTTCGATTCCATGGACGGGTCTTCGATACAATTGCCCTATATTGATTTAAGCTCCTCTGAGTGGGATGGCTGACGTGTAGTCGTGATGGCAAGATGGCCTGGTTCTTGGGTGCAGTTATCCTCCTTATGCGATGGATTTCGCACTTCATCTGCTTAGGCCATTCTGTCGTTGTGGCTCACGGAGGCCCGTCTGATGCTCTGAGGTTAAGGCTGCCTCGCTCGTTTCTTCGTTGATTTCGGTCTATGGGACTTCCCAGAGGTATGGGATCGACGCGATTAGGCAAGGTACATACAAGCTGTAGAGGTAAGCCTTAGCTTCCGTAGGTTAGATAGAGTTTGTATTCTGAATACAATTGTCATTTCTGCGCATTGCACAGTATCAGCTCGCTGATTCCGACTTTACCATAGGTACAACCTTCACCTGAAGAGACCGCCCAAAAGAAAGAAATATCTCTGAACTGCGCGAAATGCAACGCCACGATCGGTATAGAAGACGCCGTAGCGCAGGGCTGGCGCCTCTTCAAGACAAGCCTATCCGCCAATATCTCTTTACCGTCGTCAACATGGGAAACCCACCCCATCGAAACCATCGTCGCCGCTCAACTCCTCGAGCTCATCGAGCGGGAAAGCGCACGTCGCTTCGTCATCCACTGTGGCAGGCCATATGGTCTCTTAGTACGTCACCCGCCCCTCACAACATTCTATCAAGGCAACTAACGATATGAAGCTATGGGTCTTCAACCCGGACTTTCGGTACTCCAGCTCCAGCGCAGAACATAATGTCTCCTCGCAGCGGGCGATGAAGGTCCTCTTCCAGGAGGTTGGGGACGTAGATAGCATTTTGAACCCGGGTCAGGGTTCGTCGCTTTCGCTGGAGGAGGTGAGGGTCCCTGAGTCTGTGTATGAGGCCGTTGAGCGGGATCTGAAGGCCAGGAATGAAATGCTGCCGGCTTCTGCGAGGGAGTTTCGGGAGTGGAGAGTTGGGGCTTTGCATCGGTTTGAGAGGTGAGTGTGAATATGGTTGTATGTAGTTAGCATTAGCATTAGCATTAGTAAGAGTGAATAGGATTTATTTTCTGTTTACTGGGTGTGAGGTTATTGATATTCACTGGGCTGCCTTCTACCTCGCGTATAAAGTCTCGCGAGATCACACCTCTCAATTCATCTCAACGCTTCCATCTACTCTACTCCGAGATAAGTCAAGTAGCATTGCTATATCTACTTACTGTGAGTAAGCCTTACCTACATTACAAGTCTGCTAATAAAATACTAACATCCAAAGCTCACTCAACCATCCCAACCCATCATGCCCCCTCACAAAAACAACACTCCCAGACCCTGGGGAAGCCACTGTTCCGGGGTGACTCTGGACAGCACCGGCTGCAAAAAATTTGCCCAAGGCGGCGCATTCATGGAAAGTGACGACGAGGAGGGTCCAGCCTGGCAGCATGTCGAAGATATATCTACCCTGGCGCCTGAGGAGAAGGAGTTTTCGACTGGTGCGACGGACCGTAATCGTGAGAGTGGCTTTAAGAATGGTACTTCTGGCTCTGCTGAGGCGAGTGGTTCTAAGAAGGGGATCTTTGGCTTTGGTGCGAAGGATAAGGGTAAGGGTCCTGCTGGGAAGAAATGAGTATGTTGTTGTGCTGCCTAGTTTTTGCTTGAGAGAGGGCTGACATGATTGTTGGTAGGCATGTTGCAGGGACCTACGATGACAAGCGAGAAACAGTTATGGAGTTGAAGGAGTTGGACTGCTCAAGGGAGTGGGATATGCGAGGTGCATGGATATGTGGACTGCATGATTGTCAGGAGCTACGTGGTCTCCTCGTTCCATGACATACTACAAGTAGGGCAAGTATGAATGGATGTTCATGATCAACGGATTATATCTCAATAGCACTCGATACGAGTGAGAAATTCGTCTATTGACTCCCCTCAAATGGCGTCTCGAAAGGTGGCTCTGCCTGAGGAGTGATCCTCGCCAGATGGCGCCTTTGTCCATCTTCCCAGTCGAAGAGAGCCGAGTGTGCGACGACACGGTTCTACTGTCGTTAGTATTTTCCAGAATGCAGGATAAGTATACTCACATCCCAAACGACCACTGTTCCAGGAAGCCATCGGACACGGGTCTGTAGATCCTGCGAGAGCGCGATGTGATCATACAAGAACTTGAGAAGCCAGTCCGACTCTTCTTTCTTGTATCCCACAATGTAACGGGTAACTGTACCAGTTAGAAGGTTACATATCTGGCTCAAGAGAATACTCACATTGTGGATTGACAAACAGGGCTTTCTCTCCAGTGACCTAGACGATATCAGTCATATATATCCAGCCCGCTGAAGGTTGTCAACTTACAGGATGAGTCCGGACAATCGGATGCTCCGACGTAATCCCCTCCCGTCGGGCAATCCCCCCTCGGTTCAAACTATTGTTGATCTGCTCGATACCAGAGTGCACCGCCTTCAGACCGTGCAGCCGCTTACGGAACTCAGGCGATAACCGTCTGTATGCCTGCGCCATATCAGCGAAGAGAGTATCGCCTCCGCTGGTCGGTCCGTCGAGAAGGTACAAGAAGGTCGTGCCGGGCGGCTGCTTCTCGAACGTCACGTCCGAATGCCAGGTCACGGTGTTTGTCCGTGTAGCCAGAAACTCGGCACCACTCCGGTCGTCTGCCCCGCGGTGCACGAGGTGGATCTCCGGGTAGCCTTTGGGGGCTCCAGAGGTTTGATGGATATGGTGTCGGCCGAAGTAACTACCAAACTCTAGAGCCTTTTCAATGGGGAGATGGGCAAAGTCCTGGTCACGGAAGGCTGACGATACCATCAGCAGTGATCAATAAGGCTGGCATCTGTCACATACCGACAACTTTTCTTTGAGCTACGTAGAGGGCCAGCTGGTCCTTTCCTTCTTTCGTCAACTGGCTCAGCTGGACGCCGCGGACCTCGCTGCCAATGGTCGGCGTGAGATTGTCCACCTGGGCTTTACCCTGAGGCAGTAGGTCAGGAAACGATGGATCGGCATCTTTGCCGTGGTCGTAGTGCTCAAACGGCGTCAGTGGTGGATATCTGATGGTATCAGCGGATATGACGAGACTTGGAAGTTGAAGGATATTGTCCCTTACCTTTCCGTTTCATTGTCCCACACGGGAAGATAGTGAGGAAACGAGGCAGGAGGCTGCTTGTCTGTGCCCTTCACCTCGTTCTCATGCTCATAGACCTCGCCGTAACCTATCACATTCTCCTTGTTGAACCCGGCATCGGTCTTGAGCTTGGTGACTGGTGCGGTGCGAAGAGCAACGTTCTCAACCAGTGACGGGGCCATCTTGAGGTATGTCTTTGGCTCAATGCAATCCTTGATTCCGTTCTGGGTCTAAGAGCCATGCAAGTGAGAATACCCCTCCAGATATATCCATTCTCCCTGCCGAATACCCGATGTGTGCTCACGCAATCACTGCGGGGAATGCTCTGATATGTCGTATCTGTCGTGCGATTCGACCATGGATTTCCTCCACGCGGGGTAGATTAGAAGTCAATGTCTTGCGACGTCCAGGCACGTTTGAACGCTCGAGGACAGGATAGGCTTTTGGATGGTGAGCGCTGTTTCCGCCTGGATTGGTTATCTGCCCTGCCAGTAGAATCCAGCGTATTCCTTTTCGAGTGGCAGAGCGATTGTAATGGCGTGGGGTGAATCATTCTGACAAACTTTCCATCAAGTTGCAATGCCGATAGCAGAGTTCTATTTGGATTGCCGTTGCTCTTCGTGGCCGAGTATGACGTGATTGCGGTGTTGAGTCGCGCAACGCGTATACAACGTATACTTCAGCTGAGAGAAACACGACGAGAATTTCCCCTCTCTACTTTAGAGCTGGAGATTCTGATCAGCTCATATCTGGGATTGCTGCTTCCAATGCGGTTTGGCTCGCAATATGCCTTGCTCGTCCTGGTGAAATCCCGTCAGAACGTTTCCAAATCAGACCAAAGGTTGCAAAGAGAGCCACTCGCCAAAGACAGAGACTCCTCTCTGGTGATCGTCAGATGGAGTCTAGACAATGATGACCACAATGGCGATTGGCGTATGATAGCACCATCGTCTATCACTATTGCAGGACAACTCTAACTCATCCGCCATCCGGCTTATTGGGTACACGGAGACTCCACCTGAAAGCTCCATATTCGACACTACTCCATATCCCTGCACATTCTTCGACGACACGACTCGTCTTCTATAACGTCAATCTTATTCGCTTTGCGTGATATGAACTAGTCCATACTACCAAGTGCGAATACAGCCCTGACAGGTTCCGCTGGGCTTTTCCCCCAGCCTTGCACTTGCTTGGAGCCATGAAACCACCTGAATGCGGGCTTCATCTGCGCCTCTTGGGGCAGGTGGATTCTTCTTATCTGGGGTATTGTCATTCGTCATATAGATATCTATCTTTGTCAGGAATGACACCGCTTGGATCCATGTTGACCTATTCAAAGCCGTAGATTGCGTGATAGAGCCTTGAATCTTCAGATGCTATCAGTATACGACAAATACTCGTTTATATTGCCTGTATCCCCCGGATATGTTACAGAATAACACATAGGCCGCTCAATCCATCCGAAAAGCTCTGTCTACAGTCGCGAAATGGCCGCAAACGACGTAAAAGCAGCGTCTGCTCCGGAGGGATATGACACCAAGGCGTTCCCGAAATCCACCGCAGCAGAGACGTCTACCTCTTCATTATCAAGTGATGAGCCTCGACGGTACAAGGATGGAGATGCTGCATTTGACACCTCTGAAGACCCGCGGCATTACAAGCCGATCCCGACCTATGAAGGTATCCATCGTTGGGATCCAGACTTCGAGTGGACTGAGGAAGAGGAGAAGAGACTAATAAGAAAGGTACTTGAGCGTCATTTTCGTCTTCAGAACAATACTGACAAGGGCAGATTGACCTGCGAGTCTGCACATTCGCATGTGTCACGTTCTTCGCGCTCCAGCTGGATCGAGGCAATGTCGTCCAGGCACTGTCGGACAACATGCTGGGCGACCTTGGCATGAACACGAACGACTACAACACCGGACAAACAATCTTCTTCCTCTGTTTCCTTTTTGCGGAGCTGCCCTCGCAGCTCATCTCCAAGGCGCTCGGACCGGACCGGTGGATCCCCATCCAGATGGTCTGTTGGAGTTTGATCGCTGCTTTCCAGTCTTTCATCAAGGGCAAGAGCGGGTATTTCGCTTGTCGAGCCCTTCTCGGGCTATTTGAGGGCGGATTGTAAGACGAGCTCTGAGCCACTGGTTTCATAGACCTGACGTTGACCCTCGCAGCATCCCCGACACCATCCTCTTCCTCTCCTTCTGGTACAAGTCTAAGGAACTGCCCATCCGCCTCAGTTACTTCTGGGTCTCGTACGAAGTCACCGCCATCGTCGGCGCATTCCTCGCCTTTGGCTTCCTCCACATCCACGACGGCGACGGCAAAGGCGGCTGGCGCTACCTGTTCGCCTTCGAAGGCCTCATCACAGGCATTATCGGCATCATCGCCGCATTCTGGATGCCCGCCTCACCCACGCAGACGAAAGGCGGCTTCCGCGGAAAGAACGGGTGGTTCGACGAGCACGAGGAAAAGATCCTCGTGAACAGAGTCCTGCGCGACGACCCAAGCAAAGGCGGCATGCATAATCGCCAAGCCGTCACCCCCAAGATGCTCTGGCAGGCGCTCGGCGACTACGACATGTGGATCATCTACCTGCTCGGTCTGACATGGCTGATCCCCAACTCGCCGGCGACGAGCTACATCACGCTGCAGCTCAAGTCGTTGGGGTTCAAGACCTTCCAGACCAACCTGTTGACTATCCCCGCGTACCTGATCTTTATCGTCAACCTGCTCTTCTGGACTTGGATCTCGGAGCGGTTCAATGTGCGGTTCCTCTTGGGCGTTGTGGCGGAGGTCTGGTGCCTGGTTCTGCTGATTGCGCTGGAGGTGTTGCCCGCTGAGGCCAGTCACTGGGCCCGATGGGTCATTTTGATACTTCTTCTTGGGGCGCCGTATATCCATGCGATCATCGTGGCCATGACCTCGAGAAATGCAGGCACAGTGCGGACACGGACGGTTGCCAGCGCGCTGTATAACATGATGGTGCAGACCTCGAATATCATTGCCAACAATGTAGGTGTCCGGCTGGGTCAGACACAAGTGTCTATATCCTATTAACAATGCTCAGATCTATCGCGAAAATGATAAACCGTACTACCGGACCGGTAACAAGGTGCTCATTGCTTTGTCGGTGTACAGCATGGTTCTCTTCGTCGTGGCCCGGTTCTACTATGAATGGCGGAACAAGTACGTTTCCTTCCCAGGTTTCATTTGATGGCTTGAGATATTGATTGCGTCGATAGAACGAAAGCAGAAAAGTGGAACGCCATGTCTAGCGCGGAAAGGGAGGAGTATCTTGCTGCAAATAAGGATCTGGGGAATAAAAGGTTTGTAAGATGCAAGAGATAGATTCCCCGACTGAGCTGATGTTTCGACAGACTCGACTTTAGATTTGTGTACTAGGTGCCGGGAATGATAGAGGTCCTGCTGGCCCGGGGTTTGACAGCTGTGGCTTCTGGATAGGCCTTGAACCCTCTATAATAGCTAGCAATAGCTCAAATGCACCTCAATAGTAAAATCCATGGTCTCATGTAATGCTTGATGATCATAAGAGACCCAGCAAGGCTGACCGAAGGTCTACTCCCCGATAACATATTCGCAGCCATCGTCCCCAATCCACACCTCGTGTAACTTGCCAGCGGGCACATCGATTCTCGCGCCCACTCCAAACGTCTCTTTCTTGACTTCTCCATTGTGCAATTTGGAGTTGTCGTCCGGATATGTGATGGTAAGAGTGCCCCGCCGGATGAGATGCGTCGTCAAGCCGCTATGACTATGTGGGGGGTAGTAAGCGTTGCTGCTGAGAGAATCAGTAAATGACTCTGAGGGTATCCGCGTCCAAATCTAAGATAAGCTGGTAATACCTTCCATCAGCCCAGGTAAAGACATGTTTGAAGCCCCACTCTCGGACTAGACGTTCATCGTCGCTGCGACTTTTGATGGGATATGTTTGTGTCATGATCTGTTGAGATCCCCTCTGCAGCAAAGCAATCAGATACTGTCGAGAAGGGCTAGTTTGTTCCCACGGATTATGAGGTTGAGCGTGCAATACGAAGCGGGGGAATATTTGTTGATGACGTCGACGGAGAATTGCCAAATATATGAGGAAGATCGTAGAATTGCCCAAAGCGCTCTAACGGGGTGTCTTGCATTCACGTGCCCCTGTATCATAACACGGTGGATTGGACGCTTGGGACAAAAAACTCCAAAGGAAGACTCCATATGTCTGAGGGTCAATTTTATGGTCTTTTCGTTTGATCTGTCGTCTCCACCGTAGATACTGTATGGCTGCAGTTCTTCTCCGGCACCAGACATACCAGGAATCATTCCAACTATATATACCGTAGCGTCTTTGGGTCGTGGACCAAATTTAAGCCAATATTCCGCTTCAAGCCAAGTAGGAGATTGCAGGAAACCACTCGTTAGTCGTATTTGCTTGAAAATCTTGAGAAGGACGAAGTAAACGAAGAATGTTGAAGAGGAAAACCGAGAAAAGAGGCGCAAGCGTGGAAGCAGCAGGAGAGAAAACAGTGCCTTGATTTCAAGGCAACGAGCAAGCAAGCATACACCAGAAGAAAGAGGCAGCTGCTGTTGTCGTTGACCTCTACTTTCATTTGTGCGAGGTTTCGTGATTAGCATCCATCAATCTATCGTACAAGAGTCCTTTCCAATACCCTCTTCATCTCTCACCGTCCAGAATATTCTCAATATCGTACAATGCAGCCCCGTCAAAATACCTTCCAGTTCCCTTGGTCGACCATAGGCCCAAGCCTGGAGATCGTGTCTCTTGCTTTCCCGGCGTTTGCCTCAGATACTTGCCGTCCTACAGGCCTCGTGGACAGCTAGAAGGTCGAGGGTCATTGAGGAACCTTCTATGATTTGTTTTTGAAGGTAGGGATTTCCTCCTTTCCCCAAGGGTCTATGAATTTCCTGGAGTTTGGTGGAAAAAAAAGAGTCTTAATAAAGGATCTGACAAAGTGTTAGTTTTAGTGAATTCCTTTCATCCTTCCAAAGAGTTATGCTCTCACCGAGGCCGATCAACATGGTGTGCCACACACATGACAGTTCTTTCCTGGTATTACCCAAGTCTCTTTCCCCTGTCCCTTGCAAGATGGACAGCGAACACCAGGCATCTGGTCAAGTAACGAAAATCAGCAATTGCAAACAAGGAGTTATG